TCCAGCAGCCAGGCTGCTGAGTACAGATACATCAAAAATGGATCTGCACAGATATATCAAAAATCATCTGTACAGTGAAGGTTAAAATGAATACATGTAAATACTTTAAGGTTTTTACTATTCCCTCTTGCTTTGTAAATTCAATGTATTTATAATTAAAAATGATATACTAAAAGTATCATAAATCTTACATGGGAGGTTCACTAATTGTAGGAAGTTCAAAATATGAAGTGAATCACTGACTAGTGACTAACAAGACATGAGAGTCAGCCTACTGGCAGGCTGTGTGACTTATCAGAGTTGTCTCAGAATTTGTCCATCCCCTTTTGCTGATTTTACATTATGGCTGTCACTTGATCCTGGGGTTGGTGGGAGAGAAGGGGATGTATATCATGCAAGTAGCCAGACTGCTCCAGTTTAAAGTCCAGTTGATTTGGACCTTAGTGTTCCAGCAGTGATTCATAGGTCCCTGGTCTTCTCTGAATTCCCAAAGGACTAATTTCTATTTCTTACCATTGCTGAGATTTTCATTTTTCTTTCTACCTTTGTTTCTCTTTCTGTGGTAACCTATTGACCAGAGGACATTATGGCTATGGGGAATTAACACCCTTAACATTCTGCCCCACTTGCAAAAACCTGTCTGTCTCAGACCTCAACCTCCTTTTCCATTGTCTAAAAGGAGGAACTAGTACTCCTGTCACTTATGTTCCAGTCCCACTTTCTACCATGTCTTCAGGGTTCTAATGCCATAATCTCCTCTCTTCTATCTCCAACCTCCCATTCTTCTTCCTTTGCATAACCACAGCCAATTTTCTTCATTGAAGAGAACCAAATGGAAGCTCCCTAAAGCAACTGCCCTTTACCACTCTACTTTCCAGATATCACATAATTGCATTCTTTTCAAATAATGCACCTTTTTCTAGGGTATCTTCTCATTCCATCTTCAAACCAACTAATCTGCTTTTGTTCCATTCTCCATGGAAATTACTCTGACCATAAAGATCACTGCCTTAGTCACTTTCCATCACTGTGATAAAACAGTTGAGAAAAACAACTGAAAAACAGACAGACTTATTTTGGCTAATGATTTCAGTCCACGGTAGCCTGGCCCCATTGCTTTGGGTCTGCAGCAGCACAGTACACCATGGTGGGAAGCTTCCAATTGCTCACCTCACAGTTGGTGGGAAAAGAGAGGGAGAAATGGGATGGAGTCCTAATATCCCCTCAGGGGCACACCTCCACCGACCTAACTTCCTTCCACTTGGCCCCAAGTCCTAAAGATTCCACTGCCTCCCAATAGCAATACAGGATGACTGACAACCAAGCTGTTGGCTTTGGGGGACATTTAAGATCCAAACCATAACAATCACCACCAACCCATCTCTTTACTTGATCTCTCTGAAGCATTTTATGTGTTTTTAAAACTTGTTAAGGACTTTGGACTCTGTCCCTTCTCCGTTTTCTTTAATGACTCCTTGATTTCCACCTACCTATTCATCCTCATCAAAGATCAGTCTTTGGTTGATTCTAGGTAGTTTCTTCACACTCTGTATTTGTATTATAAAGCATCCACTTAGAGCCCCTGCACCTTCACCTCTGGCTTAGACCTGTCTCTGGCTTAGACCTGTCCATAAGTCCTATCCAACTGATACTGTTCACTTTTCACTTGTTCCCCAAAATGGTTTAAAACCATTGTTTAAATCCTTTCCTTCCCAAAGTGCTGTTCTACTTAAATTTCCTATATTTTTTTTTAAAAAAGGCATTATATATTAAGCCATTTGATCCAGAAACCTCCATATAGTGGATCCTGCCCTTTTCCTCACTCTGCAATTTGGTTTCCACATCCTGCCATCTGACATGATCTTTCCCCATGGCCACAGTCAGACCCTTACTGGAGTCTCAAATGACCTTCTTGCTTAGCCCACTAATTCCCAACATGGTCTCTTCAACAGTAGCATTAGCCATCACCAGGGAACTTACTAGAAATGCAAATTCTCAGGTTGCCTCTGGCCCACTGAATCATAAACGCTAAGGCGGTGCCAAGTAATCTGTGCTTTAATACATTTTCTAGATAATCTTGAAGCTAAAGTTTAAACCACTGTTCCAGTCAACTCCCACTAATGCATTTTTTACTTTTAACACATTTTGCAAAACAAAACAAAAACCAAACCAAATGCAATTGTGTTTCTGCCTTGCTCAGAAGACTTTAGGGACATTTTTGACTGGAGGGTAAAATCTAAATTTCCTAATACAGCATAAAAAGCCCATCAGGATTTAGTTTCTGCCTGCCAGTTTTCAGAATGTAATGTACAATAAATCCTTTTAGTAGGAATGCATTGCCATGTGGTGATTCAGAGTCATACCACTTGGACTCTGAATTTATACCTTACCACTTTACCTTTGGCCACCTGGCCTTGGATGAATCACTTAATCTCACTATGCCTCAGTACTATCATTCAAAAAAGGAGCATAATAGTGACTTCCATATCACAAGGTGGTTGTGCAGTTGGCACAATACCTGGCACTTAGTCTGGGCTCAGCGCTGGCTACCTATTATTATTATTATTTTGATTATTTGAAAAAAAAATTCTAGCATTAATCTGGAATGTAACAAGATCAGAAGAGGACATGAATGAATGCCCCGCTTCTCTGGGAAATCAGAAAGGAGTAAAAATACCTAGACTCTCAAGAAAGAGGTTCTGTGGTTTTTAGGGGTATTTCTATTGTGAAGAACGGTGTGATTCTGTAATCAAGAATCTAGGATGAATTAGGACATTTAACAATCTAGTTTGTGAGAGCTAGGTAAACCAACTGTGAAAGAAATAGGAACACTAAAAGAGCAAAGTACAAAGATGGGAATCATTTCGTGTTTGTTTCTGCAATAATAGCTAATAAAATTATGGTTGCCAAATGATTAAATGTGAGAGTCCGAGTGTGAAAGAGACTTGACCTTGACCTTCATTTTCAGAAACACTAGTTATTTAAGAGCAAAGGCTTTGAGTAATGATAAGAATCAATTCTAACCTCCATCACAAATAAGTTATCAACTTTGGCAAACTCTTTCCTATCTCAATTTTGTAATCTGCAATATGGAGCTACATTATGAAAATTAGATATATATATATAAAATATATATATATATATTATATATCCATATATGTAATATTCATAGCTTAGTAAAGTGCCCAGTATGTGGGAAGTGCCCAATACATGAAAGCTATTACTAGTGAAGTATATTAGCTCTAATATACATCATATATAAACAGGAGTCTAGAGACTCCTGTTCAATCAATGCCATTAATATTCTAATATTTGATTATAATTTATAAAATTAGGAAATATTGTAAAGATTGATCCAAATACAATCATGTCTCTATGCCCACATCATTTAGGGCTTACCAACTTTGAAGGATGTGTGACATGAATTTTATTCACATGTTCACTTACTCTTCTTGTCTATTACATGCTAGGAATACCATGATAGGCTCAGGGGAAAACACCAAGATCAATAAGGCATGATTCTTGACTTTTGGAAGAATACAAGCTTGAGAAGGAAAAAAGAACTCACAAAATACTACTGTATAAAATCTCTGCTTGAGTTGATTCATTTTCAAAACCATACTTATTTTCTCTATATTCTTTGAATTCATCTCAAAAGAAAAAAAATCCTTCTTTTTCTTTTGTTTTTGCTTTGCTTTTTGGTATTGGGAATTGGACCCTGGAGGTTGTTTTACCACAGAGCTACAACCTCAATCTTTTTTTTTTTTTGAGACAGGGTCTGGCTAAGTTGCCAGGAATGGCACTAAACTTGAAAATCCTCCTGCCTCAGCCTCTGAAGTAGCAGGCAATACAGGCTTGCACCACTGCACCTGTTTTGCTACTAGACTTATTTCTATCTGCCTAATTCTGCTTCCTTTCTTCATTGGTGATGATCCAAGAAAGTCCTCTCAAATAAATACTCTGCCCACAAATCTCAAAGTCTGCTTCTCAGAAAAAATAACGTAGATTCTAGAAATAACTTGTTCATTTATGGGTGTACATGTTTACCCTTTCTCCCCCCATCAAGCTCCAGGACCTGCCTGCTGGTCACTGGTGTATCTTCTAAATCAGTGTCACACTCACATATACATTCCTTAATGGAAAAATTGACCATGTTAATGAATGAAACTGCCACACTAAGTTTCTGAAACAGCAACAGAATTGGGGGTTGGTCCCATCTGTGAGAAAGATGAACATGATCTCAAGGGATCTCTTCCATTTTCAATGTATTTCGATCTCCTTAATATTGTCAACAGCCCTAAGTCCTGTTTCTGCTTTCCTACAGTTGGTATGACCATGGTGTCAACAGTTCTACCATCCAGTTCCACACCAGGCAGTAGCCTCCATCCTTAACAGCCTAAGAGAAAATATACATCCTCCCCATTTGGCTGGCCCTTCCCAGTGTAGGAATTACACAGGTCCTGTTGGAAGATGGGACGCAAGTGCAATTGGGGCTTTCCCTAGAACACCTTACCCATCTACTGCACAGTGCAGGTGAGTGTGCGGGAAGCTCTATTCCAATTTTGCCTACATACTGAACACTTTTTAGCCATCCATATCTCACCAGCAAGTATTTACAATCTAAGCTATTTTAAATGAAAGTCCTCAGCCTCTTGGAGGGGCAGCCTCCTCCTTGGCTCCGCCCCTAAGGGAAGAGAGGACGCCACGACCTTTGTGTGTGCGCGGGGCGGCGGGGAGACCTACAAGCCTCCTCTCTTCTTAAGCTGGAGAGAGATAGAGAGATGTTCCGCCTGGGGTTGCACCTTTCTCACCTGCCCACCAGCTGCTTTCCTAGGCCGCCACCGTCGGCACCAGGCACGGGAGACCGCACTTCACTCCGCTGCAGCCCCGGATCCTGGCAACCTTCGCCCCGTGCGGAGCCTCGGCGCATGCGCAGTTCTGCGGCTGGCGCCGGACTGGTCCGTTCTCTTCTCCGCTCCAATGATAGCGGAGGCACTTACCGGAAAGAACTGGGGCGCAGTTCGGCAAATTGTTGAAACTGAAAAGTTAAACACATCAAATTGGAACAACACATCAAAAGGGTACAGAGTTGTCTTTTGAAGCGCACTTGACGAATATTTACTGGATGAACTGGATACTAGTTAGTCATTCTTGGCACTCTGTGCTACCTGACTTGACCAATCACACAGCGCCTGATTCTGTCACTCAATACTAGACCCCGCCTCCCTGGACCTCTGCTTTGAAAATTAGGGGGAAAAAAAAAAGCGATCGCCAAAACTTCCCCGGATTGGCTGGAGAGCGGACATGCGCAGTGATACCTGGTTGCCGTCTTGGACGCTTCCGCCTTCAGTTCTTACGCAAGCCCCAGGACATGGGAAATGGATGCTCTTCACTAATTAATTTTCATGTCCTGTCTCCATTGTTGGTTCGAGGGCGAAACTTCTACTCTTCTGGATCATTCAAAAAATTATGGAGAAGTATATCTTAATTAAAGTTTCTCCGGTATTGTGAAAGCTACCATTTACTCTGCAGCCTTATCGAAATCTTCCTTATCGAAAATACTTTTCACCCCACGCTAGTAGTTTCCCGGCATTAATAAAACCACAGAAATACTATTTTACTTTCTTTTGATGACTTCAACTACACTTCAGTGTGGCTAACTGTGATTGGTCACCTGCTATTCATATTCGTGACGTCCCCAGCGTCTGAACAGTTTGCCTCAGTTGCCATTTTTGATTTGGTCTTTATAAAGTCATGAGCTCACGATCGGAGGCCATTTTTCTTTTGGGCTGATTCTTGCGTTATCCCGGCCCTTTACCGTGTTTTGCCGCCATCTTAAATCCTGGCTCTGGCTTCAGGAGGACAGTGAAGCTTCCTCGATCATTTTGTGTTTGGGCGGTGGCTCAGTTCCCAAACGCGCGGGAGAGCCTGGGAAAAGGGAAGCAGGCTTAAAAATTGAATTCCCCCCCAGCTTCTGAAGTTTGGTTTGCGAAACTTGCTTCTTTTTTAGTGTAAGTTTCCCCAACCAGGTACTACTCCGCCTGTGGCCCTGGATAGTAACAAAGCAAACAAAGCCCGAACCCAAACCCGCCACCATCATAGGTAAGAACGTGGAGCTTCTGTCACCTGAGGTGTTCCTTCATTTGAACTGAACTGTTTGCCCATCTTCTCTCCCCGTTTTTTTTGCTTTGAGTTTTGAGTCTTTTCCGAAGCTTTCTCCCTGAGCTCGTACTTTGTTTTTATTGTTTTCAAAGACCTGCTAAACATCACAGTACAGAAAGCCCGAGCTTTAAAGCGAAAATGTTCAGGAAAATTCTTCTTTAGGACAAAATGGAGCTCAGTGCATAAGCTCGTCATTGGTGTCAAATTATGTGGTCTGCATCCATATGTACAAATAGTGCTTTTCACGGATTAGTTGGGGGGTTGACTTAATGTCATTAATTCGGTGCATTCATCGAGTACTTGTTTTAAGCCATAAAGATTCGGCAGTAAATAAATAAATTTTAAAACCCCCCCCCCCCAAAAAAAAAAGAACTATCTCATAGGCCTTAATCACCCTGACATCTACTGGGTTGGAACCAGGAACACAGTATTCAAGGAGTCTTAGCACTGCAGACTATACAAACAATTATTTGCTTTCACATTTCCCAGCCCCCTCCCCACCTTTTTGGCCTGAACTAGTAATAAATCCTGTTGACACTTATTCTTGGGTCCTAGGTATAACCATATTTGTAAGTCAATTGACTGGTGTTAAAACTAGTATTCAAGTTATTGGGCCTTATTGCTCAAAGTGTAGCCCCCCTATCGGCAGCATCAGCAGAACCTGGGTGCTTGTTAGGATGAAGCTTCAGGCCCCACCCCAGATAGTCTGAATCCTAATTTTCTGGAAGAAGTGCTCTTTAAAAGAATGCTGATTCAGGACATGGGGCTAAAGATATAGACAGTGTATTTTCAACCTGTGTTTCTTAACCATATTAATGTGTTATTACTTGTGTTATTACTTGTTTTAAATGCAGTGGATGTTAGGCATGTTTTCCTCTGATTTTAGTTCATTGACTTGATGTCATGATTCCGATTTAGCAATCCAAAAAGTTGAAAAGAGAATTTGTTAGTCTAGTATGCTTTTATGTTACCCATTTCTATCCAAAATAGAGCTTTTTCTTCAAGTTCTTTCATCCAGTTTACCACTTGTTTGCATTAATAAAAAGGTTATTACTATGCTTTCTGCTTTCTCATATCCTGTGTACATATTTTTACCTATTAAAAGTTGAACTCAAAAGTGTGCATGTGGACAGCAATTCATTATTGACTTGGAAAACTTTGGGTCATGCTTTACCAAAGCTGTTTGTGACACCTTCCTTTTTTCTTTGTTTTCCTTTAATGAGAAATCCAAATCAGGAGTTCTCAACTTTGGCTACATGTGTCAATCACCTGGGGAGCTTTTATCAGAGGCTAAGACTCACTGGATGGAATTAAGGAGCCAGTAAGGTATTTGAGAGAATAGCAAATGACATTCACGTTTCTCCTGTTTTCTGTTAGATTTTTTTTTTCTTCTCTCATGATTTTAATAAAAATGTTTACGGTTTTGGAGGCAGTGAAGAGTATTGAATTGAGAATGTGTGAACCACCTTCCCAATAACTGATCAACTTGTCATGTATTTGTTCTGAGTTCTAAACAGGTTGTCTAGCTTTTGTTTTTCTTCCATCTATTAATTAGGACAAGAATAATGAAGGTTGTGAATGATGAAGAATAATGAAGTCTTGTGAATATTTCACATTTTAATGAATATGTATATTCTTAATGTGAGAAGTATTATAGTATGATATTCAGTGCTTCCTATTTTCATTTATTTTGTATATTGTGAGTTGCAGTAGAGCAGGGTGGGCAAGGAATTGAACTCTAGATAGGCTCCCTGAGTTCAAATTTTACCTCCTCTACTTATCAGCTATGTGGCTTTATGTAGATTACCTTCAGTGCCTCAGTTCCCTTGTTAACTTAGGGTTGATGTGAGGGTTAGATTATACAAGAAAAATATTTAAAACTGTGCCTAGCACATAGCTACAATTATGTAAGTATTAACTCATTATTTTAAAATTATAATTAAATCTTTGGGGTTAGAGTTTGGATTATGTATCAAATTTACTTTGGAAAGTATTGCAGTTTTATGACTTTTCAGGATATAAACCTGTTTGAAAAAGAGAGTGACCTAAACATAGCAGACAGGGAAGAAACTTTTCTTTTTTTAATTAAATAAACTTAAAAAGCTTTATTGAGATATAATTGTGATAGTGTATATATTTAAGGTGTGCAATTTGATGTTTTTACAAGTGAACACTAAGGAAACCATCACCACGATCAAGTTAACGAATGTAACCATCACCCTGCATAATTTCCTCTGGATCTTTTGTAACCTGTCTGGCTGCTTTCCTCTGGGCAACCTCTGATCTATTACTGTAGATAAGTTTTCTAGGTTTTTGTCTAAAAGGAATCCTTCAGTTCATGTTTTTTGAGAGAGGAGGTCTAGCATCCTTCACTCATAATTATTTTAAGAACCATCTTTGTTGTATCAATAGCTCATTCTTTTTTTTTTTTTGGTACTAAGACTTGAACCCAGGGCGCTTAACCACTGAACCACATCCCCAGCCCTTTAGGAGACAGGGTCTCCCTCGAGTTGCTTAGGACCTCACTAAGTTACTGAGGCTGGCTTTACTCTGGATTCTCCTGCCTCAGCTTCCTAAGCTGCAAGGATTACATGTGTGCACCACCATGCCCGGCTCATTCCTTTTTAATCATTTAGTAGTATCTCATTGTGGGATATTCAGTAATTTGTTTACTTGTTGAGATCCCTTTACATTGTTTTTTTCATTATGCCCACTTTCACATTGCTTTGTTCTTCTCTGGCTTATTTGAATTAGGAAAAAAAAAAAGTCTAATTATGTGGTGATCAAGCCTTTGAGATATGGTGAAACCAAAAGATGACTGTGGTAAAACATGTTTGTGTTTGGGACTTCACCTTTGCCATTGTGTAGTTTTTTAAATTCATCTTTTATGACTGATCCATGTTATGGCTTTTTAAAAATGCATTATGTGGTCCTGTTTTAGTTCAGGGGCTGAGTACTTCCTGCCAGGTTCTATCCCCAGAACTGATTGGGGATTGGAGAGGAAGCACAATGCATGTATTGACTTTTAGGTAGATTGTTATCTCTTGCTGTGTACATATGTAATCATTTTAAGCTGTATTAAATCTTTGAAGTCTGCTGTTTGTTTAATACTTTTTGGAGACTGAGAATGATAATCCATGCTCATTAGAAACCTACTAATTAGATAGCAAAGTGGAGATTTATAAAGCCATGCCAGGAATGTCAAAAACTCCCCTTTGTCTATAGATAGAGAGTACCACTTATATTTTGAGTTGATATAAGTACATTTCTAAAGTGATTTTGCTTCCATTATAGGAAAGTAGGGACTTGTGTTTTTTTATAGTGTTGACATTTTGTGCTTGAATAAATCAGAGCCTGTTTAAAATTGGATTTGACTTATGTTAATTTTAGGGTAATATACAATAGTTGTAATGTCACAGACATAAAAGTTCAGTTATGTCACTGTTTTGAGTTATTCTCTAGTTAGAAAAGATTGGATATTTTTACAATTAAAAAAATATTTCTGAGTTGGGTGTGGTGGCACATGCCAGTAATGCTTACTACTTGGGAGGCTGAGACAGGATGCCAGCCTTGGTAATTTAGTGAGACTGTCTCAAAATACAAATAAATAAATAAGGGCTGGGGGCATAGTTCAGTGATAGAGTGCTTGCCTAGCATTCATGAGAGGTCTTCGATTCAATATCCTGTACTGGAAAAAAAAAAGTTTATTGACATGTAATACAATACACTCTCTTGGTGTAACAGTTTTATGAATTTTGACTATTTCATTAAATTGTTTAACCATCATTGAAATCAGATAAAAAAACAATTCTATCCCTCCCCCTACCAAATTCCCTCCTGCTACCCTTTGGAGTCATGCTCCTCCATCCTTCCACCCTTAGTACTCAATGATCTGATTTTTAAGATGATTGCATTGATGATTACTAGAAGTTTTTTTCCTTTGGTGAAGACAACTGGAAAACACTCATTGTCACAATGGGTATTGGGTTACAAAGTGGATTAATTATGCTTGTGCCCTCTGCGTTCATGATTCTGTTAGGCTGCTGAGCGCCCACTGTGCATCAGGCACTGAGCCAAGTACTTACATATCTGATCTTGTATAATCCTCACAGGACCCATGAGGCAGAAATTATTATCCTATTTCATAGATAAGAAAACCAGAGACTGAGAGGAATTGAATAAAATGGGGTCACATGAAAAGGCAGAACTTTAAGGGCTGTGTTTCACTAGAAACTGAGGACATGACAGCACCACACGTGGGTGCCTATGTCTGCTTCTGATAAGGTATTATCTGATAATTAGATGCTGCCTATTAGTGAACAGTCCCGTGCATGCAGGGCCTGCTGGACTGTGGCACAGCAGGAAGGGGAGGCCCAGATCATGGGTCACCTAACTGCTGTGAGGAAATAGGGAGACTCAAAGGCAGGGCTGTTCTGTGGAATTAATCTTTGTAGAGGATCTCAATATTTGACTTATATTTAATAACAAAAGAAAAAAATTCTAATTTTTCATTGCTTGCATTTTCTTCTTTTGATTGTTGGGAGATTGTTTTGGTTTGTCTTTTTTACAAGAATACTTTGGCATTCACCATTACATGAATAATAGGAAAAGGTAGTTCATTTTTACACTGAAGTTAGCTTTTCAAACTTTTAAGTGTCCAGTAAAACTTGGTCATTTGTCTTTTTTTTTTTTTTTTGGTCTGTTGTTAAAAAATGTGATTCCTTCCTTAATACTGGTGTATTTGTTTTTGGTAATACAAGTTTGGTGATAAGGTTGGGAGGCAGCAGTGAAATTATTTCTTATTCTTGAATTATGGTTGTAACTTCAGAAGTTTTAGGGCCTTTGTCTTTTTCTATTTTAGCTTTTGTAACTAATGAAAGTTTTTCAAGATATAGAAGCATAATAATTTCCTAGATAAAATTTGAAATGTAGAGATTAGAAGTCTAAGTCTAAAGTTAATTTCTGATATATAACTGAGTTGGTTGCTTTTGTTTGTGACACAGTTTGGCAGTGCTAAGAGAAAGACAAATGTGAATTTCAGAATGCCTAAGTTTTTCCCACAGAGTAATCTAGGAGGTCACTGACTTTCTTTATTAGAATTTATCTGTGCTGTGCATTGAAATGACAAGACAATCATGTGGTATTATTTAATCTACTTCCATTCTTCCCCAAATTAATTTTCATAGGATCTTAGGATCTTTCTTCCCCCTCTCCGGACACACATGCACACAGATTTTTGGTGGGGTCATGCATTATCAATGTGGCCTCTTGGAGAAAGAATGCCTGGAGTCCAGAGAGAGTGGGCTCAGGATTGCAGAGTAGAGGACAATCTTAATTTGTAAGTGTTGTAATACACTTTAACTTCTCATCATGCTTATGTAAATCATATGCTTTCCTATATTTGAAAAATTGATTTTTTTGGAGGTTGTTCTGAATTTCATGAAATCTGGCAACATAATAAAAGTGCCACTGAATGTAACTTGATGGCTCTTATAACAATGGTATTTTAACATTTATGTTTAAAGCCTAATACTGAGCTTGCTGTTCTCTCCAGAAAGCAACTTTGAGGACCTAGGAAGGTAATTTTTTTGGGGGGTGCGGGGGAACTGGGGGTTGAACTCAGGGATACTTGGTCATTGAGCCACATCCCCAGCCCTATTTTGTATTTTTTTATTCAGAGACAGGGTCTCAGTGAGTTGGTTAGTACCTCACTTTTGCTGAGGCTGGCTTTGAACTCATGATCCTTCTGCCTCAGCATCTGGAGCTGCTGGGATTACAAGCATAAGCCACTGAGCCCAGCTGTAGGAAGGTAATTTTTTAGGACACAGTTGCTTTGTGTGTGAGAGTGATGCACATTTGCTTTTTAATTATCAGCAAAATAAGGTGTAGCAAAGCCTAACAACACACATGCTAATAATTCCTATTCAAGTGACTGTTAGAATGTTAGTATTTTAAAGACAAAAAAATTAATGTGCTGAAAATCTTATCTTTATGGCCTAAATTCCAGCCATAACCTCTATCTGTTGTACATTATTGTTAATATGAAACACCCAGTGTATGAATTTATATTTGACTTACAACTCCTTCAACTTTGGCTGTATGATACATAAATTAACTGTTCTTTATTGGGCTAGGGATGTAGTTCAGTGGCAGAGAACTTGCCGAGCATATGCAAGACCCTGGAATCTGTCCCTAGTACTGCAAAGTACACATTATTTACTTATAGAAAGAGGTCCAGAGTGCTTTGACCTCGTTTTAAGAAGGCCTAATGTAGAATTTGGGATTTGGAGACAGTAAATATGCATTAGATAAATAGATATGTCTAA